ACTGGAGGAGGAAAGACTGTTGTCATCAACACCTTAGCACAGGCACAGACACGGTGAGATCATCAGCTAAAGGGCCTTTTCAGCGATACGGCAGCCATTTTGAAATCTGTTGTTTCATACAGCTATTATGGGATGCTCAGGGGGCAAATTAGTATGTATTTGCCTTGAAACAATAGAATTCAAAATGGCCGCCGTATCGCCGGAAAGGTCCATCTGTCACAGACACGTAGAAAATTCCTCCAAATCAGCTGTTAGAAGAGTCCTAATAAAGAGGATCTGGCATCGAGTCATAAAATTTCACATAGTTTCGAATACATGGACCATAGAACGACAGCAACAAGAGAGAATGAAAAAATTTGAATTTTTGATTGAAAAGTTTTCCTCCTTTTTTGCGTCGTTAACGACCAATATCGTCTTGGTAAAATCAAATGGAACCTATCTTCTCAATGCCTCCTAACATTGCAAATTTACAATCAACCAAAAACTATGCAAGGAAGTTCAGTTCAGCATTGTCTCCCGCTGTCTCAGAAATTCCGTGCACCGTCGCTCGCCTTTCCTCCTCCGCGTCCCAAAGCCTTCCCGCCCGCTTTTTCTCCCAGTTTCCCGGCTACTGTCCTCTTTCACCCTAAACTGTTTTCTTCCGTCAGCTCATTTCATTTAACCACTATTCCCTGCAGTCTTAGTATCCCCACCAAACTGTACGTAATGAACGCCAAGGCATGCACAGTAGTGGAACTGTATGGTACACTGGACCCAGTCACACGAGACTGGACGGATGGTCTGCTGTCCTGTATCTTCCGTGAGATTAACAAACCGACAGACAAGAATGAGCGCAAGTACATCGTGTTCGATAGCGACGTGGACGCTCTCTGGGTTGAAAATATGAACTCTGTTATGGATGACAACAGACTCTTGACTCTGGCTAATGGCGAGAGAATTCGCCTTCAGAAACACTGTGCCTTGCTATTTGAGGTAATATTATCTGAATCGCTTTCTGTTTCATACTGTATTCGTGTGTAATATGATCTTTTCGAGCTCCATCCCACATCGGTGCTTAAAATTGGAGAGGTCGAATCGAAATTCATTGCAAAACTCTTTCTAGTGGGTGAGGGAATTGCGTTCAAGCTACATTACAAAAAAAAGACCAGATTGAGAGACTTGTAAATTTTACGTGAAAACTGTATCCTTATCGTAATAAAGCTACAGTTGTTTATCGTGATTTGGCCATGAATTATAAGGAAGCTTCTTCTTTAATATCAAAACAAATAAAAAACAAGTGGGTTATCGTATTCATCCGTTAAGACAATTGTTATCGTAACAACCAAATTCTCCAAAGGTGAATAATACAATCTGTACTACGAGTGCTAAGGAGATTCTGGATTCTGGCACTTAACGTTTTCTACTGTTAACTAACGTGCAGGTTGCAGATCTTCGATACGCCTCCCCGGCCACTGTGTCACGTTGCGGAATGGTGTACGTAGATCCTAAGAACTTGGGCTACAATCCCTACTGGCAGAAATGGTATCACGCGCGCGGGAGTGATAAGGAGAGAGAAGAGCTGAACAGACTGTTCGAGAAATACGTGCCGCCTTGTATTGACCTTATACTGGAGGGAATCGTTGAAGGAAAAATAGGAAAGAAACTGAAGACTATCATTCCTCTGACAAACCTAAACATGGTAGGAGAAGCAGTTTCGAATGTTAAAGCCGCACCTTTGTTTTTGTTTACAGGCTAGAGTTTGGCTATTATATTTTATTCGGAGCGTGTCGAAACGAAGGAAATCACTGTGAAACTACTAAAGATATATAAAACATACTTTCAGGAACACAACTTATAGTAAAGCAATGAGATTTCACTTCACTATGCAATATTAATAATTTCGATGGCATCGAAATGGCAGAGGCTGACTAGGTCCTTTAAGTGACAGGGGTAGAGGCTAAGCAGGAACTTGCTTTGTCTCGACTCAGATCATTTTGTCAGCGAAGTCATATAATTTGTTTTACTACTGTTATAGATGGTGGTCAATGAAAGTTGTCCTCTGCAAAAGAAATTACAAATTCTTTGAAGAGTAACTTGGATACTTGTTATTTAATCTGTCTTTTTATGGTCATTGAAAATATTTTCTGGTCTGGTCAGGTCAGGGCACGATTGTTTTCTTCATGGGTGGAAGTCATGGATGGCTTTCCCTTCAATGTTCTTAAAAGTACATGTAGTTCAATTAGATTCACTGGGTTACCACAGGTCAGGAAATGATCAGGAAAGTAAAAACAATTTTTTAAGGTCAGGGAAAAGTCACGGAATTTTATTTTGAGTCAGGAAAAATTGATATTTTGAAGAAAAGTCAAGGAAAATTGAAATAATTTAACACGGCTTATTTAATACCATTGAAGGGTGGAAGAAATATCCGGGGCCACTGTGATCTCAACGATATTTTAACTCAATGAAGAAGAAAAATTTGTTGAAAAATTGTTAGTCTTAATGAACGAGTAGAAAGGACGGCTGTAAGTTGAGGCCAGAAGCTGCTACTAGATCTGACATTTTGTATTTGTTTGGTCAGGGAAATCTTGTTTTTATCAGGGAAAAGTCAGGGAATTTTGAAAAGTAATGCCTGTGGCAACCATGATTCAAGTACGTGACCAATCAGACTATTCGTGATTGACTCTTAATCAAATTCTCCCTAGAGTACATGTATTTGACAAATTGTATGTAAAACCTTAAGATGAATTCTTAATTTGTCGCTTAGCTTTTGAACTTAATTCCTAGCTATTTGTCTCTCTCTGCGTTATCAGGTTGTTCAACTGTCGCAGATGTTGGATGCACTTCTCCCCCCTGCAGAAAACGCTCAGTTCCTTGGCTCTGAAACAACAGAGGCTATCTTCTTGTCAGCGCTGACCTGGTCATTAGGAGGAGGCCTGCTTGAGGACGGCCGGACTGTATTTGATATGTTCGTCAAGAGGATCGCTTCCTTGCCTCAAAATCCTGCTGAAGGAACAGTTGTTGGACCAGGTATGAACCCGCTTACTTTGATGCTATGGTGATGGTGTGATTTTCATATGTAATCAAATTATTTCGAGTGCAATTTGGAATACATAAGCACAAGTAAATTTTTCAAAGACTCCAAAAAATTACACGAAGCCGTAGGACGAGTGAAATTTGTAGTTTTTGAAAAATTTACGAGTGCTTATTTATTCCAAATTGCACGGGAAAAATCATTTGATTACTTGTTAACAATATTCAAGTGACAATTTCTGTCACGGAAGACAGAGGGTGGAAGGTCTTTCTTAATATCAACTAGCCGCCTCTGGAATATGATGCTTGCTCACCTAACCTAATCTTAGAAGCTTCAAAAAAAAATCCATTCTTAAACATTTTATGGACAGTTATAAGGATCTGGACCATTTTATAATCTAAATTTTTGATTTTCTAGTTTTACTTATTGGACTTAATCCAATGCTTTGCTTTTTAATATTTCAGTGAGTCTCGCCTTTTAGTTTTTTATATTATAGATACATAATTGAAAATCTTTCTATAGTATTAATTTTTGATGCTTTGGAGTGACTTATAGTTTATCTTTTTATTCTTTAAATATTTATATGAGGGCCACTGGCTTTCCAGTACATCTACTGTTTTGTGCTACCCTGTATAAATAAAGTTGATAAAGCAAGCCCTCTTCACTCAAGTTTTCGTTATCATTGTCCAGGTGAAATTCCCAGCGCCCAGTCAACGTTATTCGAGTATTATTTTGACTCCAAGAAGCTCCTCTGGGTCCCCTGGATCGACGTCATCCCTGAGTACGTTCACGATCCCG